TAGCCTCTGCTCCCTCCTCCCAGGGTGTCGGCACCCAGCTGGTGTCTGCTGCCCCTTTCCCCCGGGCGCTGCTCTTGGCAGCAGTGGGGGAGGCACCCCCTTTGCTGGCGCTGCCGGGGCGCGGGGAGCCCCAGGGCCGTGCCGGGGCGCGCAGGGAGGAGGCTGGGCTGGGGCGTGGGGTGTTTCACTTCACCCCACCTCGGGAGGGTGTGCAGGGCAGGACCTGACGAAGCGGCTCTCATAACTTAGTCATACTGCAACTGCGGTTTCCCTAGCAGAGGGTTTTCTTTCTTGGGTGTTTCGGGGGTTTTTTTGTTGTCTTTTTTTTTTTTTTTTTTCTTCAAGAAGTGAAATAACAGCAACTGATTTTTCTTCCTGTGGTTCCGGCTGAAGCCGCTCAGTGCAGCTCCCGGCTCCGGCACAGGTCCTGCGGGAGCTGCCCCAGCCACCCACTGTCCCCGTGGCTCATTTGCATCTGTCACCAAGTTTGGTAACAGCTATTTACACCAGCACACTTTAATGTTCCATGCGATTTAATAATCAACAAGGTCTGCGGACAGGCTTGTTAAGTATTAAGTGACAATCGTGGCTGCCCTGGGTCTATTTTTAGGAGCAGTAGCGTGCCGGCTTTCAGGAGCTGATGTTTGGGGAAATGCCTGGGACGAAGCTCCCGTGGGCTCGGGGTTTTGTGAGCGCATCCTCGGTCTGAGCAAGAGAGGGACCCAGGGATGGGTGATGGTGTGCGCAGGCAGGGTGGGCAGAGGACGCCGGGGTTGAGCTGGGGTGTGCAGGGTGGCTCTGCCCTCAGCCATGGGGAGCGGGGACACCCCACGCGGGGTTCCTGCTCTGCCTGCCCCGGTGCCAGCTCGGCCTGTGGCACGGCGTGCCGGGGATCCGGCCCCGCTGCGTCACCCGTGGGCGCAGCTTCCTTGTGATAGAGAAGTTCAGCCTGGCAGCGGAGGGAGGTAAAGCTGTGAGTAGAGGGGAAACTGCATTTCTGCAGCCTTGCCGTGTCCTCTGTGACTGCACTGCAAAACAAGCGGGGGTTTGGCAGTTTTTTTGGTGTTTGGGTTTTTTTTTTGAGATGTGGAATTAATTCCATGTGGCAGATAACAGCATTTGCAGTGACTGCCAAAAGACATCCTTTTTGCGTTTTGAGACATTACTATGATTTGCATTAATTACTATTACTGTGACTTTAACCACAATGATTCTGTGGAGACAGGCACTTATTAATGGTGCCAAATAAATAAGCAAAGTGACTGGGGCTCCCAGCCCTGCGCGAGCCGGCCGGGGCTGGGAGTGATGGGGCTGCTCTGTGTCTGGGGCTCGGCACGGGTGCTCGCAGCAGCTGCAGGCGGGCATGGGGGTAAATAAAAGGGTAATTCAGCGGCTGCTGCCCGGGCGGGGATGGCGCAGCCCTGCAGGGATGAGCCTGAGCCGAGGCAGCGACCTGCCAGGTAGGAAAATCCTGCGCTTGCTGTGTCCTTATTCCTTCCCCGTCGGACCGGGCTTCTCGTAATGCTGCAGGGTTGAGCCTGCGGGGTTTGGTGTGATCTTCCCGGTGCGTCAGGTCTCTCACGGGTCCTTTGTCTTTAAATATGTGTTTTGTGGGAGGTGTGGGACCAGTGATTTGGAGAGAGCTTGGAGATGGATAAACGTCCTCCTCTGCTGCCCAGTTCACCTCTGGTATTTCAGGTGGGGAGGCAACAGTTCTCCACTGGTCACTACCAGGAAACAAGTGGCGGCATTTTGTTTTACTTGCTGCCAGGCTTAAGTTTGGGTTAAATTTTGCTTGATTTTGTTTTCTGGTCAAGTCTTTCTGTGGCGATCATCATGTCAGCCAGACTGATGGCACCTCCGAAGGAGGTGCTGGGGTTGGGTTTGCCAGCAGCCCCCGGTACCCGAGTCGGGAGGGGAGACAGCCCTCCCGTCTGCGCCCGCAGTAACACCCTCCTCTGCTTTCTCCCCAGGATCGACAAGACGATGCTCGCCAGCCTGAAGATCAAGTGAGTACCCGCACTTTTCTCTCGTGTAAAGTGATTTCCCTGTGAGATGCGCAGTGCTGAGCGATGGCTTTGTGCGCGGAGGATGCTTTCGTGCTAGCTGGGCTGTCTTCCCAGTTCCAGCTCTGTGCAGTGGTAAACCGGCCGTATCCACGCTTTCCTGGAGATGTGTTTGTGCATGTCACACCGCTTGTTCTCCTGTCAAGTCCAAGGTGATTCAGGCCCTGGCTGATTATAATAAATGCAGCAACACAACTGCTGCGTGATGGGTGGGTTAAGGCACACACGGTGCGATTCACGGGGCAACATCTCTGCCTCGGGAGGGATGGGGGTGGCAATCGGCAGGACGGGCTGCCACCGAGCTTCTGGCTGTAAATTTAGTGAAGTCTGGGGGGTTTTATTTTGCTTTTGAATCTTGCAGTCTGGAAAGGAGGTGCGTGTCGGGGGGATAAGGGGTGTCTGTGCTTATTACCCAGCTCCTGCTCCTGTGCCACTGCGGGGGCTGTGGGTGTTGCTCTGGAGGGGCAAAGATGCTCTTGGGTCCATGAGCCAGTGGTGTTGCTTGGTGGGTCCATCTTGGGTTTGCCATGGACTTGCTGAAAGCTGGCGACGTGGGCTGCGTGGCTTCTGGCGAAGTGGCTGCTGGGCCAGATCCTGCTCTGTAACGGAGTGAGGCGTGCGGGATCACCGCCCCGGCTGGAAAATGCCATCAGCTGGATGGGGAAGATTGAGTGAGAAACGGCTGGGAATGGTGGTACTGATGCTCGCTGTTCTCCCAGCGCTCGCGGCTGTCTGGGACCTGCCTCCCGTTCCCACCAGGCCTTGTCCTCCCGGCTGCGTGACCGGGGGGACCGATCCCTTCCCTCCTGCCGCGGCAGATCCTCCCCTCTCCCCGGTTTCTGGATAAGCTCTCCGAGTCAGGGGTTTTCCATTGCAAGTACACGTGCAGCTCCGACGCTATCAGCATAACCGTGTGCTAATATAGAAATATTCTGGCCAGGCCTCCCTTGAGCTCAGGGTAATGTGTATGGGTAACGGCTCATGCGGTTTCCCTCTATAATCATTACTTGTGCAAATTATTCATTAATGGAAAAGTATACAGAAAGCCTTGGGGGAACCTGCTGCCTGAATGAGCCTGCAAATGCCCATTGTAAACAGCACAACAGAAATGCTGCTGCTAAGCTCAGTGCTCAGGTTTTTGCTGAACTAATGAGAAGTTTAAATCAGTGTTTACCGCTTTTGGGAGTGGAGGGAAATCTCGGTAGACTTTCCTTTTCCCGTGGAGCTGAGAAGGATTTAACTGCTCCTTGTATGCTGCCACGTGCTGTGCCCTGATTTTGCGTTGGGGCCCGTGCAGCAATTCTACTGC